TTTTCCTTTACAGTCTGTGTTTAAGGTCACAGTATGGTCTCACAGTTGACACTGACTGAGTGCCCAGGAGTGAATGAGGACCAAGTAGAGAGCGGTTTACTAGGTTCCTTCAAGTATAATACCAAATCACACGGTGATGGAAAGATGGGACCTTCATCAGTATAGAGGTAATGCTCAGAAGGTTATAAGGCTTTGAGCTTATTAAGATCCTACATTGGATAATTTTAGCTTCTTTGTAAAAAAATAAGGTATTCATAAGTGTGAGGATTAATGTCCAGGTCTTCAATTGATTCCATTGGTCAACCTGTCTGTTTTTATGCCAATATCAAACTGCTTTCATTTCTGTAGTTCTGTAATAGATCTTGATGTCAGGGATGGTGATAACTCTGGAAGTTCCTTTATTTTACAGGATCGTTTTGGCTATCCTGGGTTTTTTGTTTTTCCATAGGAAGTTGATTATTGTCTTTCAAGGTCTGTGAAGAATTGTGTTGGCATTTTAATGAGGATTGTATTGAATCTATACATTGTTTTTATTAGGATTGTCAGTTTTATTATGTTGATCCTTCCTATCCAAGACCATGGAAGACCTTTCCATTTTCTGGTTATCTTCTTCAATGTCTTTTTTCAAAGACTTAAAGTTCTTGTCGAACAGGTCTTCCACAAGGATGACCCTAAGCAATAAAGGAGAGGGTGCCCAAATTAGCCTTGCCCTGTAGTCAGACTGATGAATATCTTAAATATCACCATAGAACCTTCATCCAGAAACTGATGTAAACAGAGGCAGAGACCACTGTGGAGCACTGGGCTGAGCTGCCAAAGACCATTTGAAGAGTGGGAGTAGTGAGAATATGATCAGAGATCAAGATGTGAGGGGACACCCACTGAAACAGTTTACCTGAGCTAATGGGAGCTCACCAACTCCAGTTGGAGAGGGAAAGATTCAGCATAGGTCCAAACTAGTCCCTTTGAAGGTGGGTGACAGTTGTATGCCTGGAACAGACTGTGGGGCCACTGGCAGTGGCACCAGGATTTATCCCTACTGCTTATACTGGCTTTTGGGCTTTGAATGGATATCTTACTCAGCCTAAATATAGCAGAGAGGTTCTTGAACCTTCCCCTAAGCAATGTGCCTTACCCTCTCTGAGGAGTCAATGTGGGAGTGGGATGTGGAGGTAGGTGGAGGAATTGGCAGCAGGGGAGGGAGTGGGAACTGAAATTGATATATAAAATAAAAAAGATTATTTTTCTTTAAAAAAAATAAGAAAAGAAATTTTTAAAAAAAAATGTAAAAGAAAAAAGGATCCTACATTGGATTGCAAACTTCATGATGGAAAACTTAAAAATTAAATAAAATCATTGTCATAAGCCCACAGTCATAGAACCTATAAGAATCACAATTTTGTTCAGATGTCTGCTCAACTAAAATTGTATGTGATTTCTCTGCTCTAAAATGGATGCTTTTTAAGACTCGTATACTTGGAAATATATGTGTACACACACTCATATACGTATGTACAGCTTGACAAGTCACAAGATGATAGACATTTTAGTACTGAACACTCAAAATGGCTGTCCCATTGCTAAATGATATTATTCATATTTTTATTATATTTAGTCTTTTCAGACATATAGAGAATGTGAACATATTTAGAAAGAAAGAGAGGAAATAGCCATGCAAAACATCCAGCAGATTTGTCATAAGGTTTATATAAATTGAAAGGCTATTTCTTTACTAGTGATGGAAGAAGTGGTAAGAGAAGACATGTTGAAAGAATTAACAGTAAAATGTGTATATGAAAGGCATCTGCTGCTACCCATACTGTATTTTACATGGATTGAGAAGAAGTTATAATAATACATGAAAAAGTGCTATTACCCAATTGCCACAGTCATTCTCCTCTCTTCAACACTGTAAAATCAAGACTCTTGGGTGATAAAGTCAGTAAGTACATCCCTGTACCCTGAAGTCTTAAAAGCTTAAAATGCACTGTTTTTTGTTTTGTTTTGAGAATCCAAGCAAGGATAACATTAGTAGCCTTTATGGAACAAGTCATCTAATTGGCAATATTTTACACAACCGTCTCATGGCAAGAATAAATCTCATCATTATGTTATGTGGTCCAATACAAGGTGATCAATGTCTTTTACCACAAGCAAGTTTTCTGTTTGCCTTACACCAAAAATGACCTGACAACCAAACAATTTAACTGGATGGATATGGATGTCTGTGGGCAATATCCTGAAAAAATTTAGAGGCAGGACAGAGATTAAAGCGCAACAAGAGACCTCATGATTAAGATTTTATTCTTACATGCATTTTAGTTATAATAAATGCAGTATGAAATAATATATTGTCCTTTCTTCTCTGCTTAATTAATGCATTCATTTAAAGGAAACAAAAAGAAATCAGCATTACTCATCACTTGCTGTGTCTTGATGGATATTCTAATATTCTACGTCTTTATTTTAACCCAACCACATTCTTGAAATAGCTAACCTGCTCACACTTAGGGCAGGAGACATTATAACCCAGAGCTTCAGCGAGTCTCAGAGGTCAGAGAAATCCTACAACTGAGTATTACTTCTCTGAGCTATCCCTAAGGAGGCTTGATTCCTCACTGCTGATCCTTCCAGCACTGACTTCAGGTCCTGACCTGGGAATTACTGCCATGGTTTGTTGACCTCTCAAGAGCAAAGAGAATGGAATTAAGATACCAGTGTTGAGAAGCAGCAGCCCTACTGCTCAGAGTCAAGTATGATTGTGTTCAAATAAGTGAAAGCAATAAAACTGTAAAAGAATTATGTCTACTTCTACCACAAACTGCTGGTTACCCATTGATGCTCTGATATATTGTCTTGAAGTAATAAAAACTCCCTCAAGAGTAAAATGAGATATAAAACAACATTTTAGGAGATAATGGCCAAATTTGAGCAACTGTAGCCACTGGATGGGGAGGAGTATGTATCTCAGCTATGAGATGATAGGAAAGAAATTCCTTGAGTATGTCTGAGGACAATGGCTTTTCCTATTCAGTATGACTTATATTTATAACTTCATTATTTTTATAAACCAGTCCCAGTTTTTCTTCATTCTCCTCTTATAATTAATCATTTTTACCCAAAATTTCTCTTAAGTAAGCATGTGCCTTCTGACTCCTCGTTGGATCTTGATTTTTATAAATACTGGACTGATTTGGGAGATAGCTGATTGAATGAAAATATAATATAAATCCACACTTACTACTAAAGTAGAGGATTTTCAAGAGACTTAAAAGCATATTAACATGTGCCAGAATTACAAAAAAAAAGTGTGTATTTTATTCAGAGAGTCACAAACTTGTATGGATATATAAGCATTGTGCACACACACACACACACACACACACACACACATACACACACACACTCATCATTTCACAAGATTAACATTCTGTACCCATCCCTGTGTTTACAGTTATGTTTTAACATCGACTGTACCATTGTAATAATTCTATCTGGTGGATTCTGAAGACAAGGCATGCTCCTGGGGAAAAAGTAAATAAAATCATTGTAAATCAGTGCATTTCTTTCCTTTTTTTTTTCTTTTGTCCTTTTTTTTATTATTTAGATAAAAGGAACTATGGAACCGTGATTTTAAAAATGTTCCTGTGCTTTAACCCCTGGGCTCTATAGTACACAGCTGTTGTGGACATAGTGGTTTAGAGGTAGTGGGGTCACAGTAAAGCCCCACAAGGATAAAGCAGTATCGTGGAGATGAAAGAGAAATATCACACATCACGTTTCTCATTTGATACTTCCTGATCCATCACATTTGGAGTTTCCTGTAACTGTGAAAGACACCCATAGAAAATGGCGGATATAATCAAATCTTTGATTCTCTCCAGCTTGAGATGGTAGCATTTTGGAAGAGACCTAAGCAGAGGCCTCTGCTTTTAGTAATATATGACTTAAGTAATAAGTGTCAGACTTTATCAGAATCTGGCACTGTGACATACTGCAGGACAGGGTGCTGGTTGAAGCTATTATTACCTTTTATGTACATTCTCCAAAATGTTGTTAAGGAAATGTAATTGTCAATGAGGAGTCTCATTTGTCAGTTTACATTGGGTTGTCAAAGGAAGCTGGCATGTAAACAATTTAGATAGCTATCCTAATCATCTAGTTCCGTCAAGGGTCTGCAATGCATTACACAGTATGATCTTACTCTTGTGTAGAATACGCCACTGTCCCCCAATTGTCTGGAAGCTGAGTGCACTTTGCAATGTATGTCAGTGTCAGGATCTTGAGTTTTAATAAAGCTAAAAATATCCCACAGGACAATGAATTTTGCATATACTGATTTCAAAGCAGGATGCAATGCATTGCTACCATACACATCCAGCTTTCTCATTAAAATAAAAAGAGACCATCCACAGGAAACTTCAAAAACTGACTTAAGATACTTTATAGAAACACACTTAAGATACTGTGTTAGAAACAAAAGAGCCAGCTTTTGAATATGTTGGGTGGCTATGATATACCCAATATTGCACTATCAGAATGGACACATACCCACACCCACAAAGGGCACAATGTACAATGGCTGCCCAGAGAAGTTTTCCTCAATTGGCAGACTTAAAAAATAAAAATTTAAGTTGTTGTATTTTTTCCCACAGTAACAAATTCACAAAATAAGACAGCAAAAGTGCAAGAGAATTTTCAAAAGCTACAATCGTACACTCCATGTCTTCAATGCATATTGAACTTGAGATGCTTTCCACTAAAACTGGCATTCATCCAAGGGAACAAAGTCAGTCTCAAAGACATTCTGTTTTTAAAAGCTGAGTATGTGTGCAAGGTGAGATTCACAGAGGCACAATTGTCATGAGTAGCTCTTTCTTTATGAAATAGAATGATTTGATTCCTAAAAATAAACGTAAGTAAATAAACCACAAATGTGCTTATTTTATAAAAACTATATTTTTTTCTACCCTAAATGATACCTTCTGGATTTCTTCTAGGCTGAAAACACCATGCTAAGCAAACCTCGGAAAATCCATCCATGAAACAGTGCCCTTTTCTTTGGTGATCTTATACTCTAAGAGAAAAGAAAGGTGAGTAAATGAGTAACTAAAATAAAGTTTGGTAGAGTCATGACATGTTAGGAACAAGCAGAAAGGCCAGTGAAGATATAGTGATAATCAAAGCACCAGGAGTTTGGATTAGATCTTAACTGGTGAATCGTCCAGGACTGTATAAGGCAGTCACTGAAAATAGCCATTATTAAAAATTAAACGAGATGAAGTTATAACTATATACACTAGATTTTAAACAAAATTCACAGTATGTTAAATCATCCCATACTAATTATTTTACTGCATTACATTATTATTGTACCCTTGACATTGTTTAGTTTTGTTTGATCTATGTGGTGGTAATGCCATACTATGTTGTTATGGGTGAGGTCTATCATCAGCTACCTTGGTGTTTGCTTTAATGAGGTTATTTATTATGCCAAGAAACTTCGCAAGAATAACAGAAGAGGTTGGGGTCGGGAGGAGGGTACAGGAGAGAACCTGTACCTAAATTATACTGCTTTATCACTAAAGACACCTAACCTAAGCCCCTTGCAACTAAAGTCAGGGAAAACTGAGGGGAAGAGGAAAAGGTAAAGTTGGATACTAGATGCCATAGTTGAGGATTAGCCTCCATAATCTGAATCTAGTTCTATGAACTAGAAACGTTTCTGCAGTTGTTCTCGATGCCCTCATCTGTTGTCACGGTCCTGCAAGCTGCTCGCCTGCTTTTCACTTTGAGACACTATAGGGCTATAGTATTCAGCTCCAGTTTAATACACTCACTGGATTTTGTCATCCCAGGGTGAAGCAAGATGAAACAGCTCTTCTCAGATTAAAGCTCGTAGAGACTTATAGCCATTTGCTATGTTCAATGAACCCTTTTATGGAGACTGACTGCAGCAGACTAAGCCCAGAGCAAAGGGACGCAGAGTTACCTCTTAAGTCTCCACTGGGATCTATTGTATAACTGAGGAAAGGATAAATCTGCTGTAAGTCAATGATGGTTGGGAGCCCTACAACACCGCAGTATGATCCAATCCAGTTTAAATCACATCCCAAGTAATATCTCTTATAGGTCCTTCAAATACTCTTCTTCCAAATTATCTTTATATCCCACTATACACATCACATACAGTACAAATCTAAGCAACAAGGAATACATATTTCTAATGCCTGTTCTTGTCTGATTGTTTTTTTTTTTCTAAGAAAAGCTCCTGTGTTACATCACCTTAAGGTGTGTAGCAGAAGCTGGCCTTGAACTCCTGACCCTCCTGCTATATATGTTTTCTAAGTACTTGGGATATAGGCAGAAACAACCATGTGTGTCTTACTAAATCTGTTTGTAAATATTTTTTAATTCTGTGTATATATGCAGAGGAGTACAAGTGCTCAGAGATGCTAGAAGAGAATTTGGGATCTTTGGAGTAGAAGTTCCAGGATGCCCTAAGCTGTTTTATGTAGGCGATAGGAACTGACCTTGGGTCATTTGAAAAAGTAAAAGTGTTCTTAACCATCGAGTCATCTCTTCAGCTCCAGAAAGCCATTCTTGATTTGGTCCTAATATTTGTTATAGGCATAATTTCTTACTGAGTTTTCTAATTTAGCTTTTTGGAACTCTTAAGTCTTAGTCCTTGTCTTATCATACCATTCATCCCACTTATTTTTTTCTTCTTGCATTGTTGAGGAATAAGCCATGGGCTTCATATACGCCAGGCATTTATTTTAACATTGATTGAGCCACACCAACCCCCAGTCCCTTTTTCTGACAGGCTTAAACTCATATATCAGGGTCCAATTATTATGTCACTTTCTAAGTGAACCCTCAAGCAAAACTCCATTATTTCTCCCCTTCTCAATATATTTGATGGCATTTTTCCTCACATTTCAAGGATAACAATGATCCCACGACACCATAAACATACTGAAGATTTGTCTGTGGAACCTGAGCTTCCTGGAATCCATGTTGCATCCCCAGAGCTTAGTATACTGTGCTGCTTAAGCTCACACTCCACATATGTGAGTAACTAATCTTTGATTTGCTGAACACTTTAAAGCAGAGCAGAATTTCTCCTTTGGTTTTCTTGATTCAAACTTTAATTAAGATTATATCTTAGCCTCTAGTCAGGGCTATAAAAGCACATTCTGATCATTTGCTCCAATCTTCTCACTTGATTGATAGAAAGCAGGCCTAAAGTTGTTGGGTGATCCACAATGAGTCAAAAATAAAACCTAAGATCTTCTTACCCCCAGGCATTGCCATTTACCAATCTTCAGTGACATATTCTATTAGCAACATTGTCCTAATATGCAAAAAATCCAAAGTTCCAACTCCTGTCATACCAGACCTGAAAAACACAGCCAAGGGATTGTAGTGATTTTGCAGTTTAGTTCCAGGGCCTTGTAGACACAGAGTCCTCTTTCCTCTCATTGCTATTTCTTTTACATTCACCAAAATAGTTTTGAAGTAGCCATCTAATAAAAAGCAAAATAGAAAAGGAAGTTCACACCAAAATCACTAATGCAAGCTATTCCATTTTTCTCCTGTCTCCCTTCCCTGACAGATGACAGTGAGAGAGACCATAATGATGGAAACAAGTACCTGAGTGAGTGCAGATGTTTGGAAAGGGCCAAAGGACTGTGAGTGTGCAGGTGTGACATCAGAGGCTATTCTCATAACCAGAGACAGATTGAGGCTGGGATGATTATCTGGGAATCAACCAGGCTGCTTAGTACTGGTCTCAGAAAAAACCTTTGCCTTTATAGCCCAACTCCTGCAAGAGGTGCTATGACAAAGGGCTTCTGATTCCTAACTTGGAGATTTTTCACATATTATTATGATTATTATGTATCATTCATAACACATAATAATATATATCCAGGACATCCTGCAACGTGGATGAGCTCTTTACACATACCACTTCAAGTTTCTTTTAGTTTTCTTTTGCTTTTTTTAGTAATGGTTGTTTATCTGATTGACTCATTTAAGAGAAGGTCTCAAGTAACCCAGGTGGTCTACTAACCCTCTATGTAGCCAAAGATGGCCTTGAACTTTTCATTAGCCATGAAGCTTTACATTAGGCCATTGTTATGCAAGAATAAAATATATATTGAACGTAATTCCACTATACCCTGCTATCCTCCCTCTTCTCCCCATCATGGCCTCCTGTTAGTATGTTTTGTTTTCCAGTTTCATGTGTCCATTCATACTCTAACTGCATACATGACCCTGTATATCTATAAGGCATGGCATGTATAGATAAGTAGAAAGATGGAGTATTTATCCTTCTGACACTGATCATCATGCATATCCATTCTCCTGAAGTGACATAAGTTCATCCATTGTTCTGACTGAAAATATATACATACCTTTCTTTACTGGTTTTCTGTTGCTAGGCATCTGCCTTGGTTCTGTAACTCAGCAATTATAGGTAGTTCTGCAATAGACACTGATGCACAAGTGTCTCTGTGATATGTTGACTTGAAACATTTTAGATAAATACTGAGAAGTGGTATAGATCTGTCATACGGTAGATTTATTTTTAGCTTTTTGAGGCATCTCTATACTGTTTTCCATAGAAGCTTGACTAGGTCACCCTCCCATCGGCACCTTACTGGCTTTCCCTTTGTTTTGCATTCTTAACAGCTTTTATTTTCTTCCTGACTTTCATTCTTACTGAGGTGACACAGACATACAGATCAATGCACCAGAATAGAAGTCACAGAAATAAACCTACGCAGTTATTCCCACCTGAATTTTAGAGAGATGTCAAAAATATACATCGGGGAATGAGCACCTTTTCAACAAATGGTGCTGGCAAAACTGAGTATCCACAAGCAGCAGAAGAAAACTAGAGCTCTGTTTTTTGACTCTGTGTTAAAGTTGACTCCAGATGAATCAAAGACTTTAAGTGGCATAACCAATAGGACATCAGTGTCTCAGGAAACTGTGTCAAGAATTGACAGTAGGACCCTCATGAAACCAAAAAGCTTATGTACAACCCAAAAAATATCCACAGACTGAAGAGACAGCCTAAAGAGTGGGAGAAATTCTATGTTAGGTATACAACTGACAGGAGATTAATTTCTAGGATATATAAAGAACTAAAAATAAAAAAGTTAAGATATTGAACAAATTGTCAAATGCGCTAATGAAATGAGCAGATAGATCTCAAATGATGAAGAGCAAGCGGTTGGAAAACACAAACAATTGTTCAAACTCACTAACCATCAGTGAAATAGAAACAAAAATTGCACTAAAATTCAATTAGACTGATCTTGTTTGAAGAATAAGATCCAAAAATATAACGTGATTTAATAAAGGTCTCACAGCTACAGAGACACAAAGCAAATAAGACATTCAATTTCTCAGTTTCTGAACCAGGATACTTCTTGGTGAGGAATACAGGGTTATATTTTGCTTTTAGACTTCGTCACAGTTGACTGACAGCTTAAAGTTCCCAATCTGTAGCTAAAATTAAGTAGTGCTAATCAATTTCCTTGTATATTTTTATTAAATACAAATTGTACGGAAATAAAGGAAGCAAAGAACTCTACAAAACTGTCTTAATAACGGGTTCCATTTCATATATAAAATGTTAGACATTTTCAAATCCATAATAAGAAATATTATTGAGAAGCAACACAAGATATGTGGAAACAAAAGAAATGAAATGAAATCACCTGCTTGTTCACTAAAAGCTACTGGAAGAAAACCTTGAGTAAGATTCTGCATTTAGCTATATGTTAAAAATAGATGAGAAACTCATTATTTAATGATATAGTCAAGACAAAATTAGTTTTAGCCTTCTCAAAAAGATATGTAATCATTGCTGCATGAATTTAAGTACACTTACACTGCATTTTTAAGTTATCCTATCAGAAAGTTAAGAATGTGTTTTATTTTTACATATGTCCTGCTTTTCACATTATCTCTACTCAAATTAATATAAATTTTCATGACATTGTGCTAAGTTTTCGTTTCTCTAACTCTACCAAATCCTTCTGGCCAATTAAATTCAACAAGACTTCATGATC